TTACTCTCATTTTTCCTCCGTTATATTTGCCTATGTGATAACACTAATGTAAGTAAAAGTTTATTTCTAGTGCTGCAAACCATTTTTAAATATTCAATTTTAATATTTATTATAGTGCTGGTGTATATGACCTAATGTAATGGGTTAAATATTCTTTCCTAAGCCAGGCATGATGTGCATACCTGCAATCCCAACACACTGGGAGGCTGAGGCAGGAGAATTACAATTTCTAGCTCTCCTTGAGCAACGTAGTCAGGCCCTGTTTCATGTAGCTCAGTGCAAAGACTCTGGGTTCAACCCCCAGTGCCATAAAAATACTAACGTTAATGCAGTGTGATTTTAGTTTTATAAGCTTGATGAACATGTCGGGTCTAGTTTATCTTAAGGTAGATAGCAGAATCAGCCTCATAGTGAATAATTAAAGGTAGAAAAATAAGTCTGTTTCTTCAACTTTGGGCAACTTAATATTTTCTGCAAATCTGCCATTTGCTGCCCCTCTAACATTTCAATTATGTACCATGGAGAAAGCCTAATTTGTACAATTGGATTTCCTTACTGGTGTATACTGGACCATATCTGTTTTATGGTTGACATAACTAGCTTCTCTCTTGAAAACAAATGGTTTTCTTTGTTTCAAGAGTATTTTTTAAATAACTATTTGGCAAGACTTTTTTCTTAGTATATATTTTTAAAAACACCATATTTTAAGATGGGCAGTGTTGGTTTAATCCTTCAGGGACATACGTAAAAGCACAGGTGGATTCACCCATGCAAGAATTTGTTTTTACTTAACAGCTGGCTTTCTTAAAGCAATCTGTTCTGCTTCTGTGTCAAAGTGAGCAAAATATTTGTTTGAGGTTAGACTATAGAATGTCGTCTCCAGTGACTGTAGTTGGCTAGAAAAGTTCTCTAGAGAGATAGCGGACTGTAATGGGGAAGCTATAAACTTGTAGGTTAGGAGACCTGGTTGGGTAGTCATGAAACCAGGCATGTGCCATGGGCCTCAGTTTCCTGATCCATGTAGCAAAAGACAGCCTCAGTTGTCTTGAAATTTCCCTACTAGTTCTATAATTACATGGTTTTTAGTTACTCCTTGAATATTTTAGGTTGGCATCAAGTGTTGACTTGGCACTCACTTCTAATTTTTTTTTTCCTGATGGATTCAACTGCCCTATTCTCAATTGTAAGATTTATCTTAAATTCTTTACAGTCAACCACCAGATATTAGTATTTCTTTTCCAGCCAACATTCATTGACTATATTTTATGTGATGGGAGCTGTACAAAGCCGTACAGTAACAAATGAGATGTTCTTTCTATCCACAAGTATAATATATATATATATATATATATATATATATATATAGAGAGAGAGAGAGAGAGAGAGAGAGAGAGAGAGAGAGTTAAAATGATAAACTATTCTTCAACTTGTGAAGGTCAGGGTAGTTGGTAACCTTTTAGTTCCCTAAGTCTTCAGATATGTATGTGTATCCTTCACATTTAACTTCAGAATTCCAGATTAAATCATTTCCATCTTTTGAGGATAAAATGGAATGACAGCTTGCTTAGGAAGCTACTTTTTGTAAACTTTAAAGTTCTAGCTTATTTTGAATAATTATAAATGCCAGGAAATATGTACTATTAAATTTTATGTCTGAGTCTCAGCCTGCTCCTTGGACAATTACGGGGTAGGGGTAAGAACTGTATGTCAATTTGGAATCAGACTTTCTGCTTTGAGCCATTTAATTTAGACACTTATTTTAATGTAAGCACTTTTGCTTCTACTTTGGCAATCAGCATGCAATTTTAATTAGCACTTGGAACACAGTAGAATACATTGATGAGGCGCAAGACATGAAGAAATCCATTCAGAATGGCCTGCCTGGGGATTCTGGCAACATCCAAAAAGACACTCTCAGGGTAATGTGTGATGTTTCTGAGAAATCATCATCCTTGCTGGCATTTATACTCTTGTACATTTAATCATTTCAGTGTTTTGAAATGTCAAAATATTGACATTAGCAGTGTCGTCATCTATACTATACTCAGAATGTTAATTTCTTAAACTTACTCAAATGCAGCAACCGATGTATAAGAAACCAAACTTACTTTCTGCACCTGGCCAGGATTCTCTTCCTAACTATTGCTCACTAAGCCTTTAAACCACAGCCTCTCCTCTCCCCACCAATTTCTTTTTTACCTTTACTTGCTTGTCTCCATGGTCATTCACCCTCTGCACATCTAATGTCTGTGTGCCCACAACTGCACTGTCTTAGGGTAATTTTGTGAGTGTATCTCTCCCTTGTTGACTCTTAATGCCAGATTTGTGGGAACTGTGTTCCCGTCTCTATGTTTTGGTTGCATACAGTCAGAATGCACGATGGAGTGGAACAGAAAGAACGTGTACTCTACGCTTGCACTGCTGCAGGTTAATCCAAACTGTGTGCTTGCTGGGGTACTGGCACATATTGCTTAACTTCCTTGTGTTCCTTTAAATAAGGATAGTAATACTCATTGTACAGGATTCTTAAGATCAAGCTCCATCCATCAGTTCAACAAATATACAGAGAGTCCTGTTACTCATTGGTCATTGCAATATTACTGTATTTGGCACTAAGAATGTAAAGGTGAGTGAGGTATGACTTTGTCCTAAGAACTCTATACTTTTCAGTAGGATAGACAGATAATTGCAATGTAATTCCTGATGGGTGAGTAGGAGTTCACTAGTACAAGGGTTACAGGGGTTGGAGTGGAAGCAGGAGGAACGTGTGATGTCTTTGAGCCAGAGAGGATGGCAAGTTCAAGATGCAGTGAGGAATGATGTCACGGCGATGGTAGGTTAGGCTTAAGATGTAAATAAACATCATGCGGGGCCTTACAGGTCAGGCCCAGTGCAGAGGGAACTTGTGGTGGGTATAGGACCAAGTTTATGCTTCGGGAAAATCTCTTAGCAGGGCGTGGAGCAGTTTGACAGAGTCCAGGAGCAAGTACCAGCATTTAGAAGTGGAGGCCCAGAAGCTGCAGTGGAGGTGGGGTGCATGGAGCACACCAGGAGATGTTTGGGACTGGAAAAAGGGTGTGATCCGATGTGGAGGGGAGGGAGAGGCGGTAGGGAGAAAGGAGGAAATTTCAAGGGAAACTGTAGAACTCTGACCTGGTGGTGGTGCTATTCTTTGAGATAGGAAATGCCAGAAAAATCATTTAGCATATAGTTGGATGCTATAGCTTAAATGTTCCCTCCGAAAGTCAGGTTGAAATGTAATTGCCAGTGGAACACTATTAGGAAGTGGGTTACTTGTAACACAATTATTGTGTAACACATTAACACAGTGCCACTGTAACACTGTTAAGTGGCTGCACCCTTATAAATGGCTTCATGCCTTTACCATGGGAGGAAGGCAGTTGTCCTGGGAATTCTTACCCTTTTCCTGTCTGTCTGTCTATCTGTCTGACTGTCTCCCTAGATGGCCTTCCATTACTTATAATTTACCCAGTCTGTGTTTTTTCTGTTGCAGCAGCAAGGACTAAGGTGGTGGGGAAATTGTGGGGCTTGAGGGACCCTTAGGGAGAGCAGAACGTTTTGACTCCATTGTTTTGAGCTCCCCTATATTCTGGCCCTGCTGTGTTTGTTTTAAATCTATAGCTTCCATCAGAATGACATGGACTTTGTGACAAAGGTTTGTTCCAGGTGAACTCCATTAAGCCAATTTAATTCTTTGACTCATTTTCTGTGGCAGATTTAAGCTCTTTCCAATTGTTTCCACTTTGTTTTTTTCTTTTATTAGCATTATTTCTATCTGGATGATGTCTTTGTTGTGTATATTCTATAATGGAGTCTTGATTTATCAATTTATTTGTGTGTGTGTAGTACTGGGCATTGAATCTAGCTGCTTCACGCTTAGCTACATCTTCTGTTGTTTCTTATGTTTTAATTTTGAGACAAGGTCTCTCTAGTCGCTAAATTGTCCAGACAGGGCTTGAATTTGCCATCCTCCTACCTCAGCCTCCTGAGTGGCTAGGATTGTAGGAGGGCATCACCATTCCCAGCTTATCAACTTCTTTTTCTTCATCTTGGTCAAATTTTTGCAAAGCTTTTTCTATGGTAAATTTCATTTCAATGCCAGTATTTTTATGACGTGAAATTAATTTTGCACATCTGAACTTTTATCAGTTCACCCATGCAAGATTTTTTATCAACTTGTGAGTAATAGTAATTTTTTTATTTGCTGTTTTTGCTATTATCAGCTATATTTTACTGTTTTTAAAAACCAAGTCTATTTCCCTGAGACAATTTTTGCAGCACTGGAAGTTACCAATGGTAGGTGATTCTAAAGCTAGCTTTTCACCTGTAATAAATTTTGCTATGTGCAGTTTTGGCTCTTACCCATTTCATTTTGATCTTTAAGGTCCAGGTTGCCTCAGAAAGGCAAAATCAGCTTGCGTATTCAGCATATGATATAGCAAAAGTAAGATAACACAAAAACAGGTGCATGTGTGCAGGTGTGAGCATCTGAGGAGCAGTCTAAGATGAATCAGATTTGACAGCCATGTCGTTTGCATGTGTATGGAGCCCAAGAGAATGGGTGATATCTCATAAGATGTGCAGCAGGAAAGAGGATTATCTCAGAAGACGAGGACAGGCACCAGCATTCAGGTAGGAAATGATCAGAGGAGGAGGAATCCATGAAGGAGAGGCGGAAGACAACAAGATACCTCAAGGGGGCATTTGCATGGGAGTCCAGGAAAGAATGAGGAAGTGGTCACCAGTGTCAGATCCTGCTGAGAGGGCACAGACAGCCGTGTGGCCTTTGGCTTTAGCAACAAGAGCAGTGACTTCATTGTCCTCAGTGGGAGAAAGAGTATCAGCTGTGTACACACAAGAGGAGCAGGAAGGCACAGAAACAACTACGCTGACAACACTGGGCTGCAAGCAGGAAAGTTTGCTGATTTGTTGTCTGATTTATTTGGAGGTTTTTTTTGGTTGTTATTTGTTTGTTTGTTTTTAAGGACTGGGGATTGAACCTAGGGCTTTTCCCTGAGCTGCATCCCCAGCACTTTTTATTGTTCATTTTGAGGCAAGATGTCACTAAGTTGGTAAGTCACCCAGGCTGGGCTCAAACTTGTGATCCTCCAGCATCAGCTTTGCAGCGTTCTGTTGTTAGAGATGTCTGCCGCCACACATGGCTTATGTGTGTCCTTTTAATATGGAAGAGACTTGGGCATGGTTGCATGCTGGTCAGCTGAAGGGGAGAGCAGGAGTGGGATCCGTGAGGAGCACGTTAACACACCAGTCCCTTCTGGTGCGTGGGTGTGGCACTCGTCATGCTGCCTGCATCTTCATGTACAGTGATTCCTTAGAGCATGTGCTTGAGAAGATGAACCCACTGTCGATCTGACCCATCTTTTGCACTTCTCTTTTTTTTTCTCCGTTCATGCTCTGATTCCTTACTGCATGCCCAGGAGTTTTCCCCTGATCTTTCACTACTTGCTTAGCCCCTAAAATCTTCAGGTTAGGTGGTTTTATCTCTTATTTCTAACCCCACTGTACTCTCACTACCCATGAATGGGTATTGAATATTCCTATTTTTGAGAAAATTTTGCTGTCATAAAATGCCCATAACATCAGATGTGCTTTGATATCCTTGTTCTCTAGCTGTAAGCTAGGGGCTTTGCCCATTACTGAGGTCTACCCCTCACAGGTCAGAAAAAATAAAGCACAACAAAGCAAAATAAAACACTGCAGGACCTCCCACTTACTGCTTTTCTTTGGCCTAAGCTGTACAAGTCACAGCAAAACTTGATTGCTTCACAAATAATGGGGCAGTAGCCAACGCACACATCCTTTGCGGATCCGAGCAGTGAGGGTTCACTAGATCATCCATCCGTGTCTTCCCTGCATATTTGTTGGGCATTTTCAGCACCATGGGAAGTAGTGAAGGTGACAGCATGCAAAATCAGAGTCCCAGCCCTCAGCTCCCAGTCCAAAGGTTAGTCACTGTCACAGTGTAAAAAGGCGGGCAGTTAGTCTAGTAAGCAGGGACAGGTAAAGTGCCCAGGTTTTTTTTTTTTTTTTTTTTTTTTTTTCTGGTCGAATTTATTAACAATCTAATGGGTCAGTTGAACACATGAAATGCACTCTTCTCATCGTAGTGTAATTGTTTCCCCTGCCAGATGACACAGCTCCAAAGGTTAACTTTATTTTATGAGGCTCGGTAGTTTTCAGGGCTATGATTTACCTTAGAGGAAATTGTGTCCTTATGTAGCAGCTTTATGTGCTGACTCTCTGGGACATTGAAGAAAGGGCATTCTCTTTGATTCCCTTTATATTTTTAGCCAGCGTTCCCCTTCTACCCTGTTCTGACCCTGTTTTTGTTCTTGTTATTTTGCCTTCAGGACAAAATACAGGACGATTTTGTTGGCTGTTCTTGACTGAAGCATGTTTGTTTGATTTCTGAGGAAGTGACCCTCTGTCTTTGCATGGTCTGCAGTGTCTTCATTCCTCTAGTGCGCTGCTGTCCCTTGGTACCAGTAATGTCACCCTATAGGACAAGGGAGAGCCAGGGAAAAGCCGGAGATGCCTTGTGTTAGTTTCCCTGCACCAAGCCTTTACCACTTTAGGTTGAAGGGTGTCTAATTAGTTGAGGAAGAATCAGAAACTTTGAGCATAAAGTTCAAACCTGAAATTGGAGTGGTAAAGACTACATTAAAATGCACTACAAAGCACTTTAATCTGAACGTTGACGTCCCGTTCAGTAAGCCATTGAGAAAAGGAGAGAGCAGAAATTCTCACTTCTGCCAAGTGCTCTCTTTTTCCCTTTGACATGGTTCTTTGGTTTTGTTCCCTGCCAGAAAATGCATGGGTGGAGGCTTCTGCTCTTTGTTCATGGTCCCCACAGGCCCTATCATGCCAAGTGAGTCTGTTTCTCTGTTTCCCTCCAGGCCCCCTTGCTGGGAGCTCTGTTCCTAGGAGCTCACAGCCACTTGGCCACCTGGGCTTGAGTCTTTCCCTCTCTGCCGGAATGGTGTTCAGCCCAGTGTCTTTCCCCTCTTCTTCTTTGCCTGGAACAGGAAGTGGAGGGTTCAGTGAACATGAGAGAGACAAGCTTTTATTTTCTAATCTCCACTTCTATTCCCTGGGGCAGGCAGTGAACTTACACGTGTCTACAGGCTCCGATGGGGGACCCGCAGGTGGAAAACGAGGAAGATAGTTGGCTGTCTTCAGATGGTAGCATGCCAGTACAGTAGAAGTGTTTGTCAAGAGGAAGGTCTCCCCTGAATAACCAGAATAATCATGTTAAAAATATTTCTAACTTAATAAAAAAAACCCTATTAGCTAATGACAAAGACTCTTGGCAAGACTGAGTGGGAGGCTTGCAGGCTGGTGAGCGGGTTTGAGGAAGTGGTCCCTGGTCTGGACTGCTCCTCTTCGTCTCTCTTACCACTTGCTCTTTGCCACTCCCTTCCCGAATCACATAACTTCTCTTTCTCTAGCCCTCCCTGCCACTGTTCTTCATTTCCGTCTGCTGCATATCCTCAGCAGGAAAGATACTTCAGAGGGTGGAGTGGCCACTGGAAGGTTAGTCTACTTTAGGAGTTTATTTGGAGGGTCATAGATCATGGTTATGTCTTGGTTGGACTTCTCCCTGTGGGTTTGCTTTTGTACAACATCTCCTTTTAACTTCTGCACATGCTGCTTTCATTACATTTTAAATTTTAATTTTATTAGGCTTCGCTAACATGGAATGCAAATACCCCTTAATGGATAATGTACAAAAATAGCATCTACAGGCAGAATGCTGGATTTGTGCCCATATGGATAATGAACTTTATATATGTTTATACAGTTGTGTCTAGTCATTAAGACAGTCTGGCAATAACCCACTGGGATGTGGACATATTCCCAACCCTAACTAATGAGTTCTCGCCGACCGTATATTTTTTTTATCATCTTCAAGTCAAAGACAAATTCCCTCTCTGTATTTTTAGTAATCAGAATGATGACAACTCCTCCTCCCCCTATCTGATTCTTTATTGCTTCTCATTTATGTGTTGAAACTATTTGGGTGATATTTTCCCTATGTAACCACACAAAATCCTCCTTTACCTGTGTCTACTACTAATATTATAATCTGGATAGATTTTCCCAAACTATTTTCTAATCCCAGCCTATAGTAAACTCTTTACCTAAATTCAGTAATTAGAAATGTTTCTTATCACCTAATTCTTTAGAAAACTGAGGGCAATAGATTTGAGACTTGCCCAAACCAAGAATCTCAAAACTTAAGTTTACCCCTAAAAATAACAGGTTTTTTTTTCCCCAAAGCAGCACAATGTATAAGAACTGCCTCTTAATCAGGAATTGCTCAGATACATTCCAGTATAAATTGGAATGGTCACTGCAGATAAAGACAAGTGACTCCTAGTGTTTCAATACAAAATATCTGCTCTGAGTGTAGTGGATGCAAAGTCAACACCAAGAAATAGATAGCATTCCTATACACAAACAACAAACAGACTGAGAGAAATTAAGGAAACCATACCTTTCACAATAACATCCAAGAAAATGAAATATTTAGGAATCCAGCTAACAAAAGAAGTAAAAGATCTCTTCAATGGAAACTACAGTATTCTGAAAAAAGAGATCAAAGAAGATTTCAGTAAATGGAAAAATATTCCTTGCTCATGGATAGGAAGAACCAACATTGTGAAAATGGCCATACTCCCAAAACTGCTGTGCAGATTCAATGCAGTTCCCTTTAAACTACCATTAGCATACCTCACAGATCTCGAGAAAGCATGCCTTAAATTCATCTGGAACCAGAAGAGACCCAGAATAGCAAAAGCAATCCTGGACAACAAGTATAAGTCAGGTGGAATCACAATCCCTGACTTGAAATTATACTACAAAGCTACGGTCATAAAGTCAACTTGGTACTAGCTAAAAAACAGACCTGAGGATTAATGGAACAGACTGGAAGAAACAGCCACAACCAAAAACACACTCAGCCACCTAATGTTTGATTGATAAAGGGGCCAAACAAACTCATTGGAAGAATGATAACCTCTTTAATAAATGGTGCTGGAAAAGTTGGCTCAATACCTGCCAAAGACTGAAAATAGACCCAAGTCTATCACCATGCACCAAGCTCAAGTCAAAATGGTTCACAGATCTCAATATTAAAGCAGAAACACTAAATCTATTGGAATAGAAAGTAGGTAAAAACCTTGAAGACACAGGAGTAGGCAAAGAGTTCATGAACAAAAACCAAACTGCAAGTGAAACACTTGAAAGAATCAACAACTGGGATCTCATCCTACTGAAAAGTTTCTGCACATCTAAAGAAATCACTAGCAGAGTAAAAAGAAAACCCACAAACTTGGAAAAAGTTTTAGCTGATGGTCCCTCAGACAAAGGGCTTCTATCTAGAATATATAAAGAATTTAAAAACATCAGCGCCCCCCGCCCCCAATTCAAAGACCCAATCCAAAAATGAGCAGCTGAGATGAATACACACTTCTCAGATAAGGAAATACAAATGGCAAATAAATACATGAGAAAATCTTCAACATCATTAGTCATTTGAGAAATGCTTAAAACAACATTGAGATTCCACCTTACCCCAGTAAGAATGGCTAGCATTAAGAAATCAACCAATAACAAATGCTGGCGAGGCTGTGGAGAAATAGGAACCCTTCTCCACTGCTGGTGGGAATGCAGACTGGTGAAACCACTGTGGAAATCAGTTTGGAGATTCCTCAGGAAACTAAGTCTAGAGGTCCCATTCAACCCAGCTATTCCCCTTCTGGGTATTTTCCCAGAAGATCTAAAAATATATCACAGCTATATATGTGCACCTATGTTCATAGCAGCACAATTTGTAATTGCTAAAATGTGGAAGCAACCCAAATGTTCATCCACCGAGGATTGGATAAGAAAATTGTGGTACTTCTATATAATGGAATATTACTCAGCTATAAAGAAAGATAAACTTGAGGCCTTTATATTAAAATGGCCACAACTAGAGACCATACTCATAAGTGAAATAAATCAGACCTGCATGTGCAAGCACTGCATTGTGTTAGTAGTGTAAAACCTGAAAGAGTTAATTTAAACTAGGAGGTATGATAGATATTGTAATATGATAGGAAAGCACTCAAGGGTAAAGGGCAACTGGGATGTGGGAAAAGAGAAGGGAAAGAAGGAGAAATTTTGTATGTATGTATTACAGGATAGTTAACATAGTTGTTCTACTATCTTCTATTTCTTTGCTGAAAGAAACTGTGAATGAGTCCTTGACTGATCAGTATTGCATGTCTATATCTGTTTTCATGAGAAACCACTTTGAAGATATCAGTATGTAAAACAACCACCATTGTTAATTCCCTACCACTCTGTTTGTAACTCCGTATTGTCTGTACTGTTCTTTTGCTATTTTGTAAAAGTTGTCAGTCTGTTAATGTTTTCCTCCTTTTATTTTTAAAATGAAAAAAAAAATCTGCTCTGCAAATCAAACCATTAACTTGCGTTCGTTTGTCCATAAACTAACTCCTAAGAGAAATCCAAGCCCTACTAGCCCTCTCAATACATGTAGTTCTGGGATTGGTTCCTTCCAATGGCATTTCTGAATTAGAAGAGGCTATTAGTAATGTCTCTAAGACTTTATAAAAAAAAACTTTCGTGGCAATATTGCTTTTCTTTAAGCTTTACAAACTCAGCTCTTTAGCTTTGCATATGAAGATTTTTAAAGTAGATGAGTTTCAAACACGCTAGTCATTCAAAAGTGTAAGGTATATACAGTTATTAGGAACTGTCAAAAATTGAAAAGATTTAAAAGAATATATACAAGTGTTTTAGCATCAGGTGATATTATTTCTATAAATTCAGCTTCTAGGAATTTCTGCTCCAGGGAGCTTTCAATTCTTTTTAGTCACTATCCTTCCTTTTGCTACATGGTGTCCTCCTACAGGTTTTAGATGCTCTCCCAGCATTCACTCACACATCAGATGATTGCCATCTGGATTAGACAGCGTGAGGAACTCAGTCCCCTTGAACAGTGATGGCCATACAGTTACTGATGACAGTGACAATATCAACTTCTGTCCCCATGCAACTATTGATGATGATAACATCCACATGACTCTGCCCCAGTGACGATGTCCACTCCCCCAGTGTAGTGACTATCTTAGTTACTTTTCTCATTGCTGAGACAAAATAGCTAACACCCAAAGTTAAAGGAGGAAAGGTTTATTTAGCTCACAGTTTCTAGAAGTTTCAGTCCATAACTGGCTGGCTCCAAGGCAGGGTGGCATGGGAGAGGACATTGCAGAGGAGAAACAGTTCATTGCAGGTAGAAGACAACAGAAGCAACCAATGCAGCTTAGCAGCTTCTTTCTGCCCCTTTTATACTCTATGTAAGATACCAGGATTAGGGTGGTACCAAACCAATCAGTGGACTGATTTAGTAATCACATCCTTAATCCCAGCATCACACACTCTAGGTCCACCCACCTCTGATAAAGCCCCCACCTATGACTGCATGAGGCTTTGGGGAACATCTAGATACAAACCATAACAGTGACTGAATGTGTTTGGTCACATTCTCAGTTGGCTCAGAGGATAACTAAAGTGAGCAATTGTCAAAGCAAATTAAAATAGAGACCAGCTTGAGAAATCCCTGAGCCAATAAAGTCAGTTAGGCCTTGAAAATAACCATAACTTTGCTTGAGTCACAAACATAATCAAAACTTAAATTGGATCATTACTTTAAATGCTTGTATTACAGAAAAACCAAACTTAGTTTCAACCAGTCAGAAGCAGCCACCTAATTTAAACTCATATAACGAGGGACTTGTCGGGGACAAACCAAATAGGCAATAGCTATAACCAATCAAGTATTTTCTTTATTTCCATATCCACTTTATAAAAGCCTGTTCTGCAGCTGGAATTGTAGCTCAGTGGTAGAGAGCTTACCTAATATAGTATGTTTGAGGTCCTACACACCACTGACATGACTACAACAACAACAATAACAATTACAACAATAAAAGCAACAATAACTAAACCCTGTTCGTAGCATTTTGATGAAACCCCCAAACTTCTTTTGGTTTGGTGTTTCCAGCAATTCATGCATTACTGTTTGCTCAAATAAACTCTTCAAAATTTGTATTGTGCCTCAGTTTTTCTTCTTCCACTTTCTTTTGATAAAAATAACTAGGAGTTAGGGCAAGAAGACAGGAAAGAGAGAGAGAGAGTGAAAAAGGGAAGGGTGAAGGAAAACAGAGAGGTGCTTGATTCTTTAAATAATTCTCTTAAAAGGAATATTTTGAAAGAAGACTTGGAAGTTTTAGGGAATTAGCTTACAAGCTCCCAAGGCATCTCTATTCTGTATGGCTTTTTGTGTCCTATGAAACACTTTGAGAAGTACCCCAGTCCAACCAACAGCTGTTGAATTAATGGGAGACCCAATATGTTTCTATTTCAGGTTTTGTCATGGGAAGTAGGGCTGACTATCTTAGGCAGGGTAGGGGCTTCGTGAATACTGGAGAGTCTGTCCAACACATTCTCTTTATTTTTACTAATTCTTTTGACAAAAGGCAAAGAGTCTCATTTAATAAATATCTGTTGTGGCTTATATCTACATGTCCCACCAAAGCCTCATGAGTTCGTAGATGGGGCTTTTGGGGAGTGACTGAATCATGGGTGTGTGATACTGCTTTAGTCCACTGATCAGCTTAGTACAGTTCTGGATGTGGATGATGGATTTACTGAAAAGAAAGACTCACCCTGAGTGTGGGTGGCACCAACCAAAAGGCTTGTAGCCCATATGGAGTAAAAAGGGAAGGAAGAAGAAAGGTGTGCTACTTCCTGCCTGCCACACCATGAACTGTATCTTCTCTGCTATAGCACCCTGCCTTGGAGCCAGCTGATGGTGGGCTGAAACCTCTACAAACTGTGAGCTAAAACGAACCTTTCCTATTTTAACTTGTGGATGTCAGGTGTTTTGTCCCAGCAAGAAGAAAGTAACTTAGGCAAGATCAGAGCCACCCAGGAGAGAGAAGTCAGTGATATCATTGTATGAACAGCATCTGTACCAGAAACTTTCTTTAGAACAGATTTTGTCAGAGCAAAAGAGAGCAGGTATTATGACAATGAGTTGTGGACGATGGGAGAGATTGTCCTATCACTGACAAGGGAAAGCGGTGAGGCTTTGAACATGGGATTAGGAAGTGTGTCAATCTCTACCAACTTGGCTTGCTTCACCCTGGTTATTCATCCCTGAAGCTGCTGCTTCCCTCTCATTAATTCTAAGACATTTTCCTGGTTTACTGAAACTGGAAATCTAGTTATTTTTGCTTCGATATTTGTCTCACCTGTCATCTCCCTGAAGTACCATTGGTTTTGTTCTCTTTTCTCTATCCCAGTTACCACTGCCTAAGGATAGCCCCAGAATGTGTCTCTTGGAGATTCAAGACTGAGGAACAGAAAGCCTGTAGACTCGGAAGCCAGACCCCCCGATTCATTGTTCTGCATTTACCAGGGGTGACTGCCCATGAAACTTAAACTACTGTGGCTCAGCTTCCTCCTTCCATTTGAAATACATGAGTATTTGTCACATTCAAAGTGAGTATTAAGTAAAAAAAAATGTATAAAATGCTTAGAATGGTGCTGGGCATGCGCTAACTAACTACACACTGAGCAGCATGTAACACTGCAAAAGCCTCCTGACTGGTTTCACTGCTTTCTCTTCTCTCTTCTCTGCTCCTCACATGGAAGATAGGCTGGTCTGTATAACACAAAGCACTCCCTGCTGGAACAATTTCCATAGTCCTCTAGACCTTCTGGAGTGGATTCCATTCTCATCTCCTGCCACACCCCTGCGGGCAGCCTGTGCTTTCTGAGTCCTGGATCTGCCATCTACATCCACACCTTTGTGCCATTAGTGATTCTCTGCCTGGGATTTCCCTCTTCTTTGCTTCTTGCTAACCCACTTCTGATCCTCTCAAGCACAGATCAGATGTCACACACTCAGTGAAAACTGCTGACTTTCCTCTCCTCAGCATATAATGTTGACTACTTGCGACTCTTTACTCCCATGGCAATCTGTGTATGTCTCCAACTTAGCCCACCCACCCATGTGGCAGCCTGAATGGGCATCTACCCTATGCCACCCACACTTCTTGCACATCTGGACTCCCCAAGAACTTTCTTGTGTTCACATACATGGCTTCTTACCAGAATCCCTAAAGGACTGAGTAAAATATGGTTTAGTTTGTGCATGACTGTGGTTGAGCTTGGGACAGTGTGAATCTATAACAGTTTAATTTTTTGGATCCTATGCTTTGTGTCTCAACATATTTAAGAAATTTTTTAATGTAAGTGCCAATTCTAAGTTCTTTTTGTCCTCGTGGAGACTGCTTCTCTCCTTGAGACACAGTTGAGAAAGAGCAGACTCAAAGCCCTATTATATGGAAATAGATGTGATGTTTTCCTCTTTGGTTACAAATCCCTGCATAGAGAAGAGGGCTGCATATCCAGAAGGTGATTAATCTTTTAGCAATGTGGTGCTGACACTCAAATCTAAAGTGTTGCCCTTCTGTGTTGATTAATAGTACCCTCCAGGAGCAAAAGTCTACCAAACTCTTTTTCCTGTGGAAGTGGGTTTGGCTGGGGGCTAATGTGGGCCTCAAGCTCTTTGGAAGAAGAATTGCCTCAGAGAGGTGGTCTCTTTGGAAAAAGGGTATGATTTTAAACCTTGTACCTGTCAGTCATTGGATCTTGTTTTCTCTGAAGGGAATTGGTAAAATCATAGTCTCCTGGATGGAGCAGCTCCATTTAGGGTGACGTGATCTCCGATGAAGAAAACAAACAATAGCATCCATGTCTTAGTTACTTTTCTTGTTGCTGAGTTAAAATACCTGATACCCACAAGGTAAAGGAGGAAAGGTTTATTTCAGCTCACAATTGGTAGGGATTTTAGTCCATAGTTGGTTGGCTCCAAGGAAGAGCAGCATGGCAGAGAGACCTCACAGAGGAGAAATAGCCCATGGCAGGGTAGGCAGGAGGCAGCAACAAAGAAGCAGCAGCAGTAGCAGTAGCAGTAGCAGTAGCAGTAGCAGTAGCAGTAGCAGTAGCAGTAGCAGTCTGCCTTTCCCTTTTAGCCTATCCAGGCTACAAACTATTGATTGGTACCACCCACATCCAGGGTGGGTCTTCCATTATCCATACCCAGAACTATGCTAAATCAATTTAGTTATCACACACCATAGATACAGCCACCTCCAGAAAGCCCCACTGTTATGATTTGTGTCTGTGTGTCCCCCCAAAGCCTCATGTGGCCATGGGGCAGGCTTTTAGAGTTTGATTGATTATGGGTATGAGAGCTACACCCACCCTGGGGTGGATAGTTTGCATATGTAAGGGAGAGGAAGAGACTACTTGAGGCCATTCCTCCCCCATTCCTCCCTTGTGTGTGTCTTGTTGCTTTGCTGTGTTCTGCCATCATGAGCTGTAGCTCTCTGCCATGTGCCAGTCTGCCTTGTAATCTGCCAAGTATGGACTGAAACCTCCACAAACTGTAAGCGAAATAAACCTTTCCTTCCTTAATTTTGGGCATCAGGTATTTTGTCCCAGCAACAAGAGAAAAGTAACCAAGACACCCACCTATGAGGGCATGAGGCTTTGGGGGGACATCTAGATACAAGCTACAACAATCTGTTACACCTATTATCTGGGAGCAAATAAGTGGGGACAGAGGGTGCTCAGAGGACACAACCTCACTTGGGTGCCATGGAGATGCTGACATGGGAATGGGAAAAGTGTGCTCACTGGTGTGTGTGTGGGTGGATCTGTATTCAGGGGAGGAAGGTGGTTACACGTTCCCAATGTTTCTGGTATGGAGCTCAGGCAATCTTAGGATATTAAATGAATGATGACTTGGATGTGTAAAGACTGAAGACATTATACCTTGAAGTAGTTAAGTAGTAAACATTTTTTTGATAATCCACAGTGTACTTAATAAGTTCTAGTGATACAGTTCTAGCAATAGTTTGCTATGGTGATATGTTATGAGTTTTACTCAAATTATTCATTTAGAATTCCTACCCAGGTTTTATGAAGTTTATCCCACTGCCTTAATTCATTTTCTCTCATTACTGGGGCAAAATACCTGACACCCAAAATTAAGGAAGGAAAGATTTATTTAGCACATAATTTGTGGAAGTTTCAGTCCATAATCAGCTGGCTGCAAGGCAGGGTGGCATGGCAGAAGGGCAAAAGTTCATGGCCACAGAAGACAGCAAAAGCAACAAGAGCAAAAGAGAGGAGAACAAGCCTCTTTTCCTGTCTTATATTGTATGCAGGTTACCTGCCCTAGGGTGGATCCTTTATACCCACACCATCTCCTGCCCTCCTCTTGCACAAGCTGAGGATATTTACAAAGTGAAGACTCTGGCCCCCTGCCGAGTTACTTAGTGAAGCTTCTGAACTTCTCAAGTTGACACAATGTATCAACCATTACACCCACATAAACAAGATGATTCCAAAAAGGAGGTGGAAGCTGCCAAGCCTTATTAGGAAGGTACTGTCAGGACTAATGATTGAAGGATGTATTTTTTGAAAGCCAAGGAAAGAGGGGGCATTCAGTTGCAAGATTTCTATTTGCAAAAAACCCTATAATATGAAGAAGGACCCAAAGTTTTCTTAGTCTTTCCTGACAATGTCACATAATCTCAAACCAACTTGTCACCTAAGTTGGATTTCATTTTGCCAAGCTACATAGCTCTCACACAGGACTCTTTGGCCCTTCTAGATGTTTTGGAGCTACTTAATGTCCTTAAATGTCTGTCTGCTGTAGCTTGGACTTTGAAGACTGCATGGCCTCAGAAGAGTGGAAGGACTTGAAGACATACATGTGGCTGGTGTTTGTATTTTTACATATTTAAGGATCTTTAGAAATACCATACCTTGCTAGTTGTCAGGATGTCTGTGGTAAGATCTTCCAGAAGTAGCATGAAAGGGTTTGAATGTGACAAGTTTGAAAATCTTTCCCCCAAAATATTGATAGACCCTAAGAACTACAGATGGATATTTCTGTGCATTTGTATGACTGAATTCTACAGATACAGGAGCCGTTTAACAGCTCGTGAGATTGGTCTCTGACAGATCCACACTTAGCAGCTTCTTTGCTTCCTTCTTTCAGAAGTCTAGCATAAAAAATAATTGATTCATTGAAGTTCACTTGGATTCTGGCTAGAGTTAGAGAAGTTTCTGATCTCAATGCTACTGACCCCAGGAAATGATTTATTAGGTCACAAATAAAATAGCAATAACATTATTAGGGGATATTGCCAGAAAAGTAATTTCTAAGGAGAGATGTGCAGCTATAAGATATGTGCATATTTGTAGTGAGTTGCATTTTATATAAATTGGATTATTTTCATGTCATAGTGTGCATCATGACATAAAGTTTTATTAAGAGGTGAATGCAGAATGTCATAATGGTGCACCATTCCTTATAAAAAGAATTGAGCTGGGTGTGGTGGTGTGTGCCTGTAATCTCAGCACTCAGGAGGCTGAGGCAGGAGGATCACCATGAGTTTGAGGGCTACATAAGCGAGTTCCAGCCTGTGCTACATAGCGAGATACTGTCTCAAAACAAACAAACAAACAAACCAAAAACAATACAAAACAAAAAATGAATTAAGTTGTGTCTTGACTTTGGAAATGAAGCACAAACTTTTTTTTTAAACTTGTGATGTAGCAAGGGCTTCTTCTCAGTTTTCAGAAGTTTAGTGAAGGATTAGATATATTTGCATAAGAATCTCGAAAGCCTTCTGGAAAGGCTCTTCCTACTAAATGCTAAAATTAGGAAAGCCTGCCACAGTGGACTATAGTGGTGCTGAACTTGATGCAATGAGGCAAGAGGACATGAAAGTCCCCAATGGCAAACTCACCACAAGAGAGAGGAGAGCCTGGCGGTGACTCGAATTCCACACAACAACCCAACTCCAGGCAAGAAAGCTCTATTTTGCCACTATGAGTGTGAGATGAAACTCAGACTAAGATTCACCAGTAGGATACCAGCAACCGACGATCTTGCGCAGGGCAGTGAAACTGTCCCATGACACTTTAAGGGTCACCCAACGTGTTAAGCAAGATGACAGTTTGATTTTGGCATTAGAGAATTCATTTTGGTGACTTGTGTGGAATATTGCATTTAAGAGGAACAAAAATAGAAACAAAAATAGAAACTGGGTGGCTGGTGTCCTGGTCCACAGAAGGAGAAAAAAGATGGAAAAGTCAGTGAAGAAGAAAAACATTCAGGAAGTGGAGTTGTCAAAACTTAGTAATTGATTGACTCAGAGGGAGAAGCAGTTAATTTGTTTGCTATTTATGCTGTTTATTTCCATTATGAATAGCAAGGATTATACTAAGTGGCCAATTATTCCCTTCCTGATTCCACTTGTTTCAGCTGTTGGTCTTGAAAAAGAAAATTATGAAGATGGAGCTTTGATTAGCTTCACTTAGTCTCATAATAACTGTGGTTATCATCCCCAGTTTATTGAGTGGAGTCATTGTTTTAATTTGCATAAGTGGTTTTTGGATATGCAAAGATCCAATTG